CAGCAGGAAGACTGTGCCCGACAGTGCAAAAAACCGCCGTAGTAAAATGAATCTGTTGCGCATTTAATAAATTAATCACACTAATATATTACGTTCTTGTATATTTTTAAATAGATTTATAATTTTCTTTACCTATACTTGTGAAATATAAGCACAATGAGCCATATTGCAAAAAGCAATGTTCCAGTAACTTCACACATATCAAATGCCCAGGGGATATGAGGTACATTGTCTAAAAATATGTCTGGCAATGGAGGATATTTTTTCATATCAGGCACTCTGTCGTGGACAATAACCATCACAAAGGCAGTAATCCATGTGACGATAAACAAATATCCCAAACTAATAACTGTTTTCCAAATTTCAGGTGGTAAATGAGAAGCATGTCCGTCCTCCGATACAGAAGCTGAATAAAACTCATGCTCTATGGACGCTTCATAATTTGTACCAATACTGGGCATCTAAAATAAGATTATTTCAAATATAGTGTCATCTATCCTTCCATCAAAAAGAATTAATTCAAAGAAATTTCTATTTACCTCATGTTTATTCTGTTGAGTATAAAAATTTGGCGAAGGAGACAGATCCATATATCCCAAATCAAATAGAACAGCAACATTATCCCTCTGTAATTGCTTTATAGCGAGATATAATTTTTTTATAGTACCCATCTTCTTTATGTTCATAATATTTGATTTTAAGTCTTCCTCTTTTAAAGTCAACAGCACTTTTCCATCAATTTCATGAAAGTAAAATAAATCTGCGTATTCCTCATAACCATTTTTCTCAAGCCATATCTTTACATCGAAGCATGTCCATTCGACGACGTTTCTCCCTGTCATGTCCATGTTATTGTAACGTATTTACCCTGCGTAAAGAAACAGTTTTAGGTACACATTTACATTATCGTAAACCGATTACCTTATTATAATAAATAGATGACCTTGTGACATGGAGCAATCGCTTTGCCAATTACATAATATAGCACATTTTGTTAGAACTTTATCGATATGTGTAGTAAATAAAATGAGAGGAGAGTCACAAGGTCAAACACTGTGACAAACCGATGCCGGTTTGATTGAGGAAGCTATGAGACAGTATATACTTAACCCCTCGTGCTGCGAAGATTAAATAGCCTACCTGAAAAAAAACTGTGCGCCGGAATCGTCGGTGATATCTTATCAGAACATTTTCGTGCGTTTAACGTGCATGCCACCATGCCACCACGATTATTCTTATCAAGGTAAATCATACGTTGGCAGTATTTATGTTAACACGCACAAAGGAGCCATCGATCGCGATGTAGCGCGAATCGAGATCTACTAATTACCGGCAATGTACTCCGCGGCCTCATTTAAGAGGTTGGCGCGATGCAACAATGCGATATTAATATTTACGTCACGTCGTTATTATACGCGAGAAATATTATTGGAGCGCGACTTCGAACGCTCGATAAGGAAGGCTTGGTTGTGTTGTTGTTGCCGCTGCTGTATACTACACAGCTGTACGAGATCAATGTGATAACAATGGTCCTAGAATGTCGCGATTCCAAATAACGAAATGATTCATCATGATGATTCTTCGAACAGAGATATAAAAGGAAATTATTCATGAAAGATTATTTTTTTCTCCTCGATCTCTCTCGCGGGTAATTTCCTTCGCCGAACAATGTTGCAGGGTTATATACAGGGTGTTTCAGGAGGAATGCTCAGTATTCTAGGACATACTAATATTTTTATCAAAAAAGTTTATATAAATATATGTGTCCTATACTAGATGGTTATAAAGATACATACAGCGTGTTCAATTTTAAAAACGAATACATTTATTAACTTATTAGTAGAACCAAATTCTATGAAACAATTACTTTTAAATTTTCAAATATCTCGCCACCGATCCCAATACATTTTGCAGCTCGCATATGAAAGGTTGCGTGTTGTTAAAAAAAAAAATGTTTTTATACACATCTATATATAAAAACTTTTTTGATTAAAATGATGTGTATATTTTATGTCCTAGAATATTTTGACCATTCCTTCTGAAACATCCTGTATATCTAACTCTGAAATTTACGATAATTTACTTATAAATTACTTATATTTTGAAGCATTGAAAGTTCGAGCGAAGAAAAAGAAAGAGATTGTTGAAAAATATGTGACAAGTACAGGTATATTAGATAAGAAAAATACGACTTTTACACACATATATATAACACAATGCTATCTTTAAGTTATTTTTTTATGTATGCTAATCTCATTTTTACGTACCCAATGAGCAGACAATATCTTTTAAATGTATATTATTAAATGTATTATTAAATGTTACATTTTATAATATATTAATAATATTTGAAATGTTATTTATTTTAATATTTATTGTTCATATTAATTGTACATTGTACAATTGCTAGTAAAAATAATATTTATTTTATTACTTATTTTACAAGAAATATTCATTATTTTTTCCAAATGTTAATATAAACATTTTTGTAATGATTAAAAGGGGACTCTTAACCCATTATATTTTTGTTTTTAAAAATATTGTTGAAAAACATTTTTAAAAATATTGTCATTGGATAGTTATAAAAGTCATGAACATCTAATTTTAAAAATACGTTTTTTTTTTTAACTGAATTGTATAGATCAAAGTATGCGTGTAATTTTTGTGTAACAAAATGTACACTATATATATATTTTGTGCTAAGTTTTTATGAAACAACCGTATGTATATTTATATAATATGTATCGAGACATTTTTGATCTCCCTTTCCCCGTCCCAGATTGGACAAATTTTACGCTACACGTTACGAGGATCTCGTTATTTCCTATGTTTGACTTGTTTTGCGTGCATGACACGCTTATTCCTGATGTTAAAAAACCGTATTAAAGAAACCGTTATTTAAAATGGCAGCACGTCATCCTGTTGCTTGCGCTGTACTTTTTCGTATCTTTTCTCCCGCGCTTTGCTTCTTTCCCTCCAAATATGAAATGCGTTTCTTTTATTATTTATTATTTGTTATTTTAAATAAAAAAGAACGCAAAAGAAAATTTTAATACATATCCAAGATAGCACACAATAATATTTATAAAATATATATAAAATATTTATAATAATTATTTGAATATTTTTTAAATATTTATCAAATATCTGCCCATTTCAACTCTATGTACACATCTTCTATTTGTCAAACGAGATGCATATAAAATAAATATTGTAGATAGTGACAGAGAAAAAGAAACGAAAAAATTAAAATAAAAGTGCGATCAAAATAAATAAATCTAATCCTATATCTTTTATCATTCGCCACTAAAGGGCCATTTGCTTATAGGCTGAATGCTCTTTTTTTCATCGTGTCTACACAACCATATCCGGGCGATGGTCCCTTGCACGTGTAACCCTATTTAACAGCCGTGACTCCGACGACGGGGTCGACGGTCGACGTCATCAACCGATCATCAACTTCAACGTCAGTCCGTCAGTCGTCGCGCGTACGTCAAAGTCGATAGCGTGTATGTGTGTGTATGCCGAGGGGTACTCGACGTGCTGAGTTGGCAGTCTTGACAAGGCAGTTCCCCCGCTAACTGTTGATTTGCATGTCGTACGTACACATTTGTAGCGCGAGCCCGGATAATGTTACGAATGAATGTACTTAAACGGTCTATCACTTAAAATAACGCCGGAGTACTTAATGAGCGATGAGCGGACAGAAGTTCCAGTATGACGAGAGCGGAGGGACATTCTTTTATTTTCTGCTCTCGTTTTTGGCGTTACTGCTGGTACCCGGGACCTACTATCTCTGGCCACGTTGCCCGAAGCAAGGTTAGAGATCACGATGAGATCCTAATTTTCAGATGAAGTAATTTACCATCAGCACGATGTCACGATGGGGATCATTTTTTTCGTTCGTTTTTAGATTCCTTCACCTCATCTCACTCCATCAGGGCAATGTTACATTCGCCGTCCCACATACTCGTCGCTCGGGGGATCATTTTCTTCGTTCGTTTTTAGATTCCTTCACCTCATCTCACTCCATCAGGGCAATGTTACATTCGCCTAATCTAAGAAAACGAAAATATTTGATTCGGTTACTTATCGAGTTTTATACGTATAATATTAATATCTATATTAATTGATTAATCTAGTCACATTACAAGTAATTACATTTATAAGACACTATCCTGTATTACATAAAATTTATATGAAAATCATAGTCACAGATTTTGATATTTTACTTGTTTGTCCAGTCTTAATTTGTCTTTTAAGAATGCAAAAGTTTAAAATTGGAGAGACTTTGTTTTCGTTTAAATATTTTAAAGATGTATTAATTTCAAGATTTTTTTCTCTCTCTCTAATATGTACAATAAAACTTTTATTAAAATTTACTTCTTATTAACAAGTTCTACAATAGTAATTTTTCACAATGTTGATAATTAGAATTGAGAGCAAAATTAAAATACTTGAATAAATATGTAATAGATTATTGGTATGTAAACGTATATAGAAAAGTGTATTATATATTTAGTTTTGTATATTCTTTAATATTTTATTGTAATGTTACTATGTGAACTTACATATTCCTATAGTTATATTAAAAATATCTTCATAATATATTATTCAAATAAATAGACAAAGAATATGTCTTTTTTGTGATTAGCATTGCTTAAATATAACATAATAAATAATTTTGAATCATAAAACTATCATGAAAGTATCTCAAGATAAGAATGTTTTTTTATTGTTGTATTAATAATTTTTTTAATTTTACTCAGATCCTGACCAGTTAGTCAAAGAATGTCAGTGCGATGGATGTAAAAAGAAAAAAGTTATCCTTCAGGCAAATAAACCTTGGAAGGAAACTAAGGCTTTGTTTACGTAAGTTCTTATCATACGTGAAAAATAATATACAGATCTGTGATTTACACAATTATGTATAAAAGTTATATGTTTCTCTTATCTTTTTGTGCTAATAAAATTATATTATTATTAGGAAATTTCTAATAATTCTGGGATGGGCCATCTTGATATTCTTAGCGTATAAAGTGTCCCAGTTTGATTATGAAATGGCCAATTTTGATCCATATGAAATACTAAATGTACCAGCTGTGAGTATAGAATAAAATTTATATGCATAGTATTTGTTGCACATAATAAAAATTAATGCTAAGCTTTCAATTATAGGGTTCTTCACAAAGTGAAATTAGGAAAGCTTATCGCAAGCTATCATTAATTCTTCATCCTGATAAAGAAACTGGAAATGAAAAGGCTTTTATGAAGTTAACTAAAGGTGAAAAGCAACGAGATTTGTAGAGAGATTGTATGCACAGAATTGAAAAGATACAACATAATGTATATGTTAAACATATTTTATATCACATTTATTGCACACAAATAATCCTACACATGTAGAATGACCTATGATACAGATTGTGTTAGAGAAAAGTACCTGCACTTGAAATTAATCTTATAACAACTAAAAATTTAACATCACATTTAATTTTTGAAAATTATTACACTAGTATCAAGTTGTCACTATTAATATTCTAAATTTGGATATAAGTTAACTAAATTGTTTTTTTTTTCGTTAACAAAAATAGCTTACCAAGCTTTAACGGATGATGAGGCACGAAAAAATTGGGAAAAGTATGGAAATCCAGATGGTCCAGGGGCAATGAGTTTTGGTATAGCTTTGCCTTCCTGGATTGTCGAAAAAGAGAATTCAGTGTGGGTCTTAGGACTATATGCATTAGTGTTCATGGTTGCTTTACCAACAGTTGTAGGAATGTGGTGGTACAAGAGCATTCGCTACACTGGTGATCAAGTAATTGGCATTTTTATATGCCAAAGTAAATCTACATAGTGACAAATTGTGTACTAGTTATTATATGTATTTATATTTCTAGGTTCTCTTGACAACAACTGAGATGTATTACTTTTTCTTCGTGAAAACTCCATCTATGTCGTTGAAGAGAGTCATCATGATACTTGCTGCTTCCTTTGAATTTTTCAAGAAACGCAATGCAGAAATAATTGAGAGACATACTGACATTGAAGAAGTTCCTTCGGTAAATTTGATTTTATTTGACATCCCAATATTTTTTTATTTTTTTTCTTAAATAAGTATACAATTTATTACATAACAATTATTATGTAACAATTTATTATATATATATTTTTTTTTCATATTCATATTTCAGCTTATCAAACAGTTACCCAATTTGGGAGAGAAAAACAAAGAAGTACCACTATGCCACTTGTATTCAATTAAAGCTAGAGCCTTATTGCA